GTCACGGGCACACGCGGGTCCCGCGCGCCGGGGCTGCACCCAAGGCGGGCAGCGAGGCGAGGATGCAGTTATATGAATCACTAGCTAATGCCTTGTGGGGTTAACACGAGAAACATGACCGGATTAATTGAAATGCTTCCGAAACAACACGTAACAACTGGCTGGAAATTAATGACGGCGGAGGAAACGAGTGTCTCTAATCTACAGGGATCCTACGGCTGCTTGGTCAGATGGGAAGGGGATCGGGTGAAACACCGAGATCTGAATGGAAAACAAAAAAGAACAACGTGCCAATGTCAGATGAGATGGAGGTGCAGTGGGTGATACTTATCTTTACCTTACGGGATTTCTGGGATCCAGACAGCAGGGGAAGGAAAAATACAAATGAAAATCAAAGGGAGAGAGAGAAAGAGAGAAAAGGGAGATCAGTGGGTGACATCGTAACATGCAGGGCTGCAAGACCACGGCTGCAGCCAGCGCCCGGGGTAGGCAGGGAAGGGAAGGGGAGCTGCAGGAGGGAACAGGAGGGGCCAGGGGTAACCTTCGCTTGAAGAGAAGCCTGAAAAGACGAGAGGGAAGGGAAGAAAAAATCCCTTCTTTTGCAGGAAAGCCGTGTAATCCTGACGCTGCAGTTCTAGGTGGATCTTAAGGATGAGTTCAGCAGCAGCTGGGGCTTTTCCTGCATTACCAGCTTCCCCGCCGGGAAGGCGGACGAAGGGCAGGCCAGTGGCCCCGCCACGAAACCCTGGGGACCCGCTGCTTGCGCAGGGAGCAGTCGGACAGGCAAGCTGCCAGCGGAGCAGAGAAGGCACTAATGGATTCGGCACCAGCACTGCAACCGGGCTCTGACTGCCCTGGGACCTGCCCCCGGCTGAGCTCGCTGCGGAATGCGTGGATGTGGCGCTTCGGGACATGGTTTAGCAGGCACGGTGGTGTTGGGGTGACGGTTGGACCTGATGATCTTAGAGGTCTTTTCCAACCTTAATGATTCTATGATTCTATGACTCTATCCCGGGCACAGGCTGGAAGCCCCCCGGGTCCGGCACAGCGGGGCTGCAAGGCTGCCTCAGCCACCTGCCCCAGCCCAGGGACCCTCGGGGACCGCAGAAAAGGGTTGTGTGCGTGCGTGCGGGGGTCTCCGTCACACGCAGCCCGCAAACCACGGCCCCGAGAATCAGGGCACGCGTGTCGCTGGCAAAGGGGCTGCGGAGGTGTGTGGCGGGGGACAAGGAGGGAGGCAGAGTGGGAAGAGGTGTGCGGTTGCTGCCCCACAGCAGAGCAGCCAAGCTCTGCCCTGCAGCAGCCTTTTCTGCCCAGCTCTTGCCCACTCCACCCTCCAAGCCATTCACCACAGGGATTAAAAGCCCACGAGCCTGGGAACTCCTCAGCTCATTTCACACCTGAGAGGAGCAGGGCTGGAAGCCCAGAGAGCTCTCCCCGGTCCATCCACTTACCGGTGACTCTCCCATCACACTCTCGCCGTTGTTGATCCTCATTACCCCCTTGCGCCCATTCCTCTCCAACAAGACGCTGACCCAGGTGTTGAGGGGAACAGGCTCTTTGCTCCTGGTGGTGGGAAGGAGAAGACACGTGGGTGAGAGCTCTGCTGTCACCACCTGTGAACACCGCGTTGGAAACCTCCCCTGACCAGCTTGGGCTGCCCAGGCCAGCGCAGCTTGACCAGCTTGGACTGCCCCAGCTTGCAGCTCAAAGCCATTGCTGGATGCTGAAAGCCACCACCATCCCTCACCACCGCCCTGACGAGCAGCTCCGCAGCCCGCCATACCTGAGCACAGCCGCCCCTTTGCCCAGGTCATATCTGTACTCCAGGTAGCCATCGTGTAAGGCCAGAGAGACAAAGTCCCCTTTGCCATCTGTCTTCTGGCCATTGTAGAAGATCATGCCGCTGGGGTTCTTGGCCAGGAACACAACTTCCATGGACATTTTGTCCCTGAGGAGAGAAGGATTACAGATACCCTCTGATCCAGCTGCCCACACGCTCCCTTCCTCCACCCCCATGTGCCGAGTCTTTGGAATGGCTCTGCCTGCCTGGGAATACAAGGATGGCAGAGAGATGCCACCCCATAAGGCTCCCTTGCCAGGTAAGAGGTACATCTACCATGGAACTGGGATTGTTTGGTCTGAAGGAGGCTGAGAGGTGACCTTACTGCTCTCTACAACTACCTGCGAGGAGGTTGTAGTGAGGCAGGTGTTGGTCTTCTCCCAACAAACTAGTGATAGGACAAGAGGCAATGGCCTCAAGTTGCATCACGGGAGGTTTAGCTTAGATATTAGGAAAAATTTCTTTAATGAAAGAGTTGTGAAGCATTGGACCAGGCTGCCCAGGGCGGTGGTGGAGTCATCATCCCTGGAGGTGCTCAAGAAGCGTGTAGATGTGGCACTTCGGGACATGGTTTAGCAGACATGGTGGTGTTGGGTTGATGGTTGGACTTGATGATCTTAGAGGTCTTTTCCAACCTTAATGATTCTATGTTCAGGACGCTGCTCTGCAGTGCCCATTTACCCAGCCTGTCGCAACGCCAAGCACCCAGGGAGTGTTGCTGGCTGGGTCTGGCTGCAGGGATTCTGGCCGTGCCAGCCCCTCTGGACAAAACCTCCCTAAGCTGTCGAAAGGGAAGACCTCTAGGGAGAGCTGGCATGTGACAGGCAAGGCTCAGAGCACGAGCTGTCACCCTCGAATCAGCCACGCAGGCAATGCTCTTGGCTGTCCCGCTCCTGTTCCCTGGCACTTACTGCAGGTCAGGAACGAAGGTCTGCAGCCCATTCAGCTCCAGGTAGGAGAAGCCATTGAACTCCGGGAGGAAGGGCATGGTGTGGTCCTGCTCTGTCACTGGGCACAAACGAGGGAACGGTGAGGAAGAGGAGGCAGAGCAGCTTCAGCCAGTGCCCCAGAGCCACAGCAGGCAAGGCCTCCTGGCCACCCAGGCTGGGGAAATCAGCACCTCCAGTTCCACCCCCTTCCCCAGCCCCGCTCCGCTGCCGGCTCCCGTCCCACCTAGCTCGCAGAAGTCTCCTTCCCGGCCCATGGGACAGGCGCACAAGGCACCTCCCTCCGGCAGCACCAGGCAGGTGGCAGAGACGTGGCACGGCGTCGGGTCGCAGGGGTTCCTCTCGTCGGCACACGTCGGGCCTGTGGCAGAAAAGGCAGTCTGTCCCGTCAGCATCTCAACCCTACAGCCATCGGGCACGACTTGGCCAGGGACAAATGTCTCCAACTTCTCCTGATGGCCCTGCCAGCTGCCTTCTCCTGTCTCAGGTTGGGTTCCCGTGACCCAAGAAGCCCCCCGCAGTGGACCCCGCAAACGGCAGATGATACCCTTGCCAGACTACACCCCGAAAATGCAAGGGGAAATTTTTTTGTGCACCAGAACAAACAGATCCTGGCTCTTCTGCGCATATGAACAGGTCTACATTCTAAATTTATTGACTTCACCAGATGCCGCCTCACCCTACGCTTCTGTCTCTAACCCGCTGCTGATGCTCCTCACCACATCCCTCCCCACAGAGGCTCTGGGATCCCTCAGGGCCAGCCAGCGCGATCAGGAGCCCCAGCAAAGCTCTGTCTGCAGCCCCCGTACCGGTGTAGGTGTCGAGACACTCGCAGTGGAACATCTCTGCCTCCTTGACGTGGCAGATGCCACCGTGGTGGCAGGGGTTGGGGTGACAGGGGTCGTTGCCGCACTCGCCCACCCCGCTGCCGTACAGCACGTCGCTGCCTTTCTCCCGCAGGTCGTACATCTGGTTGTTCACGTCGAGGAGGCGGACGCAGCCCTTCAGCCCGCTTGTGGCCGTGGTTCGATCTGCCACCCTGAGGGGACAAAGTGGAGGGGGGTGATTTCCATAGAATGGTTTGGGTTGGAAGTGACCTTAAAGATCACCTGGTTCCAACCCCCCT